GAGCTGCCGGAGATTCACAGAATTTACAGAAAATGCAAAAATTTTGTGATTTATATCGTTATCGAACGATAGATGTCTTATATCGGGATATGAGATTTTGGGTCATATCGCACAGCCCTATGGCAGAGCTAACTCGAAATTTCAAGTAACTCAAAATTTCAAGTTATGTTTCTCCAAATTTCGAGTTAATAATCAGAAAGTGAGGACAGTGAGCTATTATGGAGCGACTGTGAAGTAGAGGAGTGGATCGCTGAATAAAGTTTGAGGGACACTTAGGAGCTCAGGGGTCAGTTGGTAAAGTAATTGTGTGTGTGTGTGTGTGTGTGTGTGTGTGTGTGTGTGTATTTCTTATTGTTGTGGGGACACAAATTTGTTTACACACTCACATTGAGAGGTCTCGCCAACTTTATGGGGACAAGTTGCAAGCTAAATCATTAAATTTTAGGGTGAAGGCTTGAGTCAGGGTTAGGGTAAGGTTAGGTTTAGGATAAGGTCAGGGTTACGGTTAGGTTCAGGCAGGGACTTGTGATGGGTAGGGTCAGGATAAGTCTCCAGGAAATGAATATTAGTTAATGTAATGTCCCCAAAAGTGATGGAAACACAACGCGCGCGCGTGTGTATGTGTGTGTACGGGGTTAGGGTCAAATGTTGGATGTATTTTGGTGTTTTATTGTTCTGTGAAATGTTTACATTGTTTATTTGTTGTTTATTTATTTTTTCATCCTTGTTGTACTAATAAAACTTATTATAGAATGACTTTGTGTTTGACTACCCTTGTCGCACAGTGTTGCCTTGAAGCAACAAACCAATATCTGTTTGGGGGGGCAGGGTTTCAAATTTTATGATTGATATATTATTAGGGACCCCAAAGCTCCCCCAAAATAGGGAGAAATATTTTTTTCCCCAAAAATTAAAAAGTCATGCAGTAGAGGGCTAAATAATTCTTTTTTTTATTCCCCTCCCTTTAAGGCACATATTTGAAACTTAATGCCGGCCAAATATGGGCTTTTGCATATTTTAATCAGGCTTGTGTATCACTTTACGTTCTCAATAAATTTCAGCCCGCCCAGTTGTACTGTGGTCTGCACAGAAACATGCATTCTGAGTAAATGCAAAACTAAACAGACATTGACTTCTACAGTAACTGCATGCTGACAAGCTAGCTAATTACAGAAGAAATAGTAAAGTGAATGCTGTAAGGCTGATCAGTTCTACCAAGCTGAGAAACTGATTAGCCTAAGGCTTTACTGCATGTAAATGCAAACCTGTTAACCATTTGTTACGAGAAAATTCCTACTTTAAGAAAACAGAGGCTTCAGAATGTCACTGAATTACAAAACGGTGTGCAACTACAGCATGCTTGCTGCTAACAACTTGGTTTTGCTAATTAATCTTTAAGTCAGTGGTCTACAGAATATCAACAAATAAAAAAAAACCAACTATTTTCATAATCACATAAGACAAAAAAGTAATAACTTCTAATTAACTAGATAATAAACCTAGTGCTTAACGTTTTTCCTCAAAAATTACTTACTCAAAAAACTATTAAGAGAACAGTTGTTTGATTATGTAGTTAACTGAAAAACACAATAGACACAATAAGTCCAATAATTACAAGGCAGCTGGAGCGGTGGTTAGAGCTGTCACCTCACAGCAAGAAGGCTTTTTTACCCTGCATTGTTGATTCCTCATAGCTTCCTCATAGTTACGTCAATATTTCCTCAAACTAGCCACATGAAATTTCCTGGACTGAAAACAACTTTTAAGCTCTATTTTTTATGTTTAAATAAACTCATAAGCCAAAGCCACAATCTTAGTTTTTGTCATGTGCAAAGAAAAAAACAAACAAACAGCTGATTGTAAGGCAGTCAAGTTGGAGGCACTGGTTGATTTTTCATGCATGACCCTCACTGATGCGGTTAGGTAAATATAAAGATATTTAATATTTAATACATCCAGTGCCAGGAGCAACAACAGTTTGTTGTAACAACTGCATATTCTTCAATAATGAGAATCAAAAATACATTTGTAAAACACAAGAAGTGTTTGAAGATGTGGTTTTGGCTCCCTTACCTTACACTCTCCATTGATGCAAATGTCCAGCGAGTCAGCCTGACATTGGGTGCCATCTATGACAGCAGGAGACCGCTCAGTGTAGAAGTTATAGCCTTCTGCCAAGCAGTTCAGTGCACAGGGCTTCACACCACCTGGGTTACACAGCATGGACGAAAACCGAGCAGGTCATTACATCATTACCTAAAGTTCAGTTTCACACAGGGAACAGACAGCGTGACCTGGCCCCTGACAGAACCCTAACAACACAGAGACCAGCAAATACCGATGCTATTCCAGGACTTGCAGCCAGCTCTGGGATCTTCTCTTAACTTGTTGACAGTAATAATCATGAGGGGGGGAAATTCAGCGGTGCTCAGATCTAAAAAACCCCAAAACTTGACGTCACTGTAACATTGACAACAACAGAGACAGCGCTGCTTGCCAAAAACAATTACACTGACATCCACGTGTAGGTTATCTCCTGTTTTTACATGACGCCTCAGCCCACGGAGCTCTATAAGAGAGGAGGTGATGGATTTGACAAAACAGACTTAAGCTCTCACATCTCTGAGAGAAAACAAAAGCTGTGTTTACATGCTTCAAACTTTATCACTTTTCTCTGAGATATTTGTGGTCTTAGTTAAGTGAATATTTTCCTTGATCTGCAGACTTCAAGGAGAGACACTCCTGCCAGTACCTATGACAATGCAACAGTCCTTCCACTGGTATTGGCTCAATAAAAAACTGTTGATCCAGAGAGGGGAAAAAAGCCCGAGATGGGTCCAGAAAACAGACTAGCCTGCAAACTGTCATTTGAGACACAAAAGGGATGATAGGGAGGCTTTACAGCTCAGCTCTTAGAGAGTTTTGACAGAACAACAGCTTCAACTCTTAGCAAGTTCAAACTGAGAGTAAGTAATTATTAATTATTTAATAAGAATTGAGTGGGAGTGAATTTAACTCTGATCAAACTTCATCCAGACACTATTGCCTATATAGTAATTAATCGTTCATGTTATACAGTAATACTTTGAAACCATGGATGTATTATACAAACAACTGATCACAACTAGTCCTGAACTCACCCCCAGTGTAAGGCTTCCAGTTGTAGTACTTCCCACGGAAAGGGGAGTTGTCAAAATCAGCGCACTGCTTCTCTCGGAAATCACGAGATCCTGCAGGGCAGGCCTGCAAACAACAGTGAAACTGAATGTGAATACAAAGGACCAAGATTATCGAATGTCTAATCCAAGTTCACATTAGACTGGTGCCAATGACCTTTGGAATTAAGGTCAGTAAGAGTGATCTCCAGCAGTTTGTCAATATAATAACTGTGTGATCTGCCACGTAATCGGTTCATGTCAATATTTTATCATTTAACCAGCAGCATCTGCACTGCATTGAAATTCGTCTGGGGAGTGACTACACAGGTTAGTAGCAACAAGCCCACAGGTCTGGTACTCTCCACCTCAACAAATTCAAATTCCTAAACCGAACCTTTGATAACAGCTAACACTTTAGCCCTCCAACCTCCTTTGACTTCTGAAAAGCCAAATTGCTAAAATCAAGCTTTAAAACAGGACTTGATAAACCAATCACATCAAGAGGGGTACATTCATCTTTTACAGAGTCTATATGTAGGTTTGAGTGCTGTTGCCTTTTGAGTAAATTCATTATCTGCTCATTTTATTTTCTAAAATCCCTACTTTATTAACAATGTCACATTTAATTTTTTTTACAGACTAAAGAAGATGTGTTTCTTGGCATTTCTGTCTGAGAACATTGTGTTCTGTGTTCAGATGAATTGTTTATGTGTGGATTTATGATGGATAATGAAACATTTCTTTGGCTAGCTAATTAGAAACATAAACTGAGCCAGAGGAGGTGAAACAGCCCAGTATAGAATTCAGGCTGAGGCAGACTGAGTTCTGGCTCTGATTCTGGGATGGCACTCCACTGTGTGGATAATGCGCCAATAAGAGGAGGTAAAAAGTGGAAAGAAACACTTTGCTGGTGTGAAAAGGTCCTTAGGAACCGCAAAACACTCTCCCTCGGTACAAATAAAGGCTCTCGGGTCAAAGCTGTATTTCACATGCTCAAAGTGTTCCATGCTGGAGTGGGCCATAGGGAGGATAGGCCACTTTCATTACCATTCAAGTGTTTTGCCAATTTAGCCGCTTTAAACTTGCACATCAAACATGCAGATCCAGTCAGAGGAGACAGAATAATATTATTGCAAGTGTGTGTTGAAATGAAAACACAGTACCAAATGAGATTTACATGTGCTAACGTCTGTTGGAACAAAAGAAAAGCTCACTTTAATAATGTTGGGTTTTCATCAATGTTTAACTTGTTGATTATCAACTGATTAAAATAATAATAGAACAGAAGGCACAAAAAGGGAGAAAAGTCCTATCATTTAGGCAACTCGAGTCCAGTTGCTTAAATGCTTGACACTTTCCCTTCATTATCTTGATTTTAAAAATTAAAGTTCTTAAAAAGGTATCGTCTGTGCCTCTTGAGGAGCTTAATATAAAACAAAATGTGGTATTTGTAGTGGGCTTTATAAACAAATCAAATTAAATGTCAGTGCTCTACCAGTGCTTGACCAAAAATGAGAAATAAAGATTGAATTCAGAGGCTAATGCACATTAAAACTTAAAGTGAAAAAGACAACAAAAGAAGTCAGATAAGAAGACAAAATATAAATAATAAAAGGTGACAGAATTAGCACAAAAATACAATTGTGAAATATTATGCAAAATAAATGGATTCCTATAGAATGTTAAAACAAAGTTATTATTATTCATCTCAGAGGTTTCTTCCTGTTAAAAGAGTCTTTTTTCTTCCCACTGTTGCCAAGTGCTAAGCAACCTCCTACAATCACTTGCCAACTGGTAAATTGGTAACTTCTGGTTATCATCGGGGTCACTGACAAGTCTTTAGGCGTGGATGATTGGGATTAGCAATCTATTTTACAGCAGCTGCCTCCAGCAGCTGTCGCAACCAGTCAAGGAAATACTAATTTAACTGTCCTTAGAGATAACACGTTAAGTTAGATGCTAGTGGGATGGCTCTATGATTGGCATGCTCTTGGTAGTCCACCAGTTTGGTGGAATATTGCAATAATTACTGTGATAAAACCTTTATACTGAAGGTATGCATGGTAATCACAGGATGAATTCTAGTGATTTGGGGGACCATCTGACATCACCAGCACCACCAGTTTTAATTTAGGTAATGAAATATCTCAACATGTATGGCATAAGCACAGATTATGATTAAGGCATATGTTTTTTAACTATGCTAAAGAGAAAAGATCCTAATGACTCTGGCAGTCATCAGACCTTTTTCCAAGGACTGCTACTACCAGTTTAACTGTTTTGAATAAATAGGCTGTCTGCCATGAAACTTGGCCCACCCATTTATATACTTTTGAGGATAATTTGTGAGTATTTGTCATTGTATCTACATTTGGCACGCTCTCTCACACACACATGCTTCTTTGGACAAGGTGTGGTTAGTGTGATGAAATAGTGGTTAGGGACATTGCTTGTTTTCCAAAGAAAACACTCAGTGCTTGCTCAGAACTGTTATTTTTAAGACTTGTGGTTAAATGTCTACTAAGGCCCTAACTATTTCAATTTTCACCTAGTGAAAAAGGCCACCTAGAAATAGTTGAACAGAGATCTTAACTTGCAGCCATGTCAAATATTTGGATAAAACGTTGCTCCAGACCTCAAAAAAAAAAAAAAGCTTGCTTCTTATGAAATACACCCTGAACTGTCATCATCGTTTGACTCAAGTGAAATGTCACAAACAATAAATGAACTATAAAATGACAGAGGGCGCGAATAAACCCAAAGTCACCAGGGGAATATTGAATCTCTGTCTGTTCATTTTTATCATTGTCTGTCCTACGTTCCAGGAGAAAATATGTCAGAAAGCTTAAAGGCAACGTGATGCTGTGTGCTAGTGTGCAGCCTGTAAAGCCCTTTTCTAAGATAACATGTTCTGGAGGAGAGCTGTGGAAGAGCAAAGAGGTGATCCAACATTTTTTTTAAGTTGCTCGCATGCTACTTGGCAGAAAATGAAAGAGGGAGGCAAGGAAATGAAGAAACTCACGTTAGTGTTACAGGATCTGTATCGTTTCCTCTCTCCGAGACAGTACTTGCCTCCTCCAGATGGGCTGAGAGACACAACAGAAATAAATGAGGGATGGGGAAAAGAGACTCTTTACATCAAACCACATAAAGTGCCGTAAATTATATTCACAAATTCCTCTCAGAGATTATCTTTAGGGCAAACAGTACATAAGAGATTTTTTTTTCTGATGAAACAGGCGCAAAAAAGTCTCTGCCAGAAAACAAAGAGTGTTTGTGTGTCAGCATTTGCTGCTTTGTTGAGCATCTGTGCCAAGGATTCATTCAGGAAATCCAACCTGTTCTAAGAGCTCTTAAATGTGACATGACATTTCAAGTCTAATGACTCTTAACTCACGCTTTTCCTTCTTCTACTCTTCACTACACATCTACCACATCTCTGAAGGTTTTCTTTTCCTTTCCCTATCATCTCTCTGCTTTTTCTCACCTTCAGAAGCCTCCCTTCCCTTCACTTTATTGCAAAAAAAACTGTGAGACAGGCCATGTAATGAATGTGTTAGAGGCTGTGTCTGGCTGTGTTTTTTCTGCCTCCCTCCTCTTTGCACTGATGGCTGAGCAGCAGTGATCACCTTACACAGGTGTTCCACATTATGCCTGTGCCTTCACCTCCTCCCCTTTTTCTTCCTTCCCTCTGGTTCACCCTGGCTCTTTTTCTTGCCTTCCCATGACGTGTTTGACGTAATACCTAGTTTCCAAAACAAAGGAATGCGACAATGGAAGAAGGATAAAGATCCCAGATGTCTGCTTGCCCGCCAAAGATGCACTGGTCAATGATTTGTCTAGTGAGGACACATGGGAGGTTTTAAAGTAAACCTACGCATCACCATAATCTTCGAAGAAGAGTAAGCTATGTCTTAACTTATTGCACATGTCACATTAACCGAGACTGCGTGAAACTGCACAAGAACAAGGACTAAGAACCTTTACAGTCAGTTGTAATGGCTGCAAAGTATTATCTGAAACAGCTAATCTTTGTGGTAATTTCAGGTTACTGACAGTTGCGTTGGTGTATTCCTTTCTTTCCCCATTTCAAATAACATTTGTCACTGTTGTTCAAATTTAGAAAATGGTAAAGAAGAAATCCAGACTTTCAGCTGAGCCTTGGAAAGCCAGTTACTATGGCTCATATTGCACACTTCTCTACTTAGACTCGCTGTTTTGAGTGCATAAGTGTGTTTCACAGTGACAGTGAAATACACTTATGCACAGTGCACTACGAGTACCCAGATGGTGAACTCATAACAAACAAGAAGTGTGTGGAACAATGTTCACGTCCTGCCATCAACGATCGTCATCTTCGGTATGCAGCAGAATGGAAGGACCACCAAACAATTTTCAACCAATGGTGTCCACGCTAGTCATGGACAGTATGCCAAAATGACTCTGGGTTTTTTTTGTTTTGTTTTTTACAGTATGAACTGAAATAAGTGACTAAGACTCATAAACTCAGCAGCCAAATATTTACAAAGGTCCTGGCAGAGGGCCATTTTCCCATAAACTTCCACAGGCCCAGGAGTCTTTTTGGAAGCCCTGTGGTGGCCTTAAAAAAGAAGGCTTATGGCACTTTTGTGATGGCTTCACTTTTTAGAGCCAGAAGCTAAATCTGTATTTTTATACCTACCTTTTATACCTTACTAAGTAAAATTTTTTCTTCAAAAAGTACTTCATTCATTGATTCAATAGAAGTCTTGACCTACTTAGAACTCTCCTACTGAGTTTGAGACCATTTTTAAAATTTTGGTCATTATCAGAAAGCGAGATCATCCAAGCTAACGACTTACTGCCAGTAAATGGGTGTGGGGTTACACAAGTTATTGGTCACATCCAAATGGTGACAGTAAAAACATTCATAATGAGGCTAAAAATGGGAATTCCAAAGCCAAAAACATGGTTGAAACCCCAACGTCATCTCCATGGTCAAAACTGATCACAGTACAGCAAAAATGGAACAATAGATCAATCAATCAATATTTTATTTATATAGCACATTTAAAAAGGACAGCGTCCATCAATGTGCTTCACACAAGGTAGCAAAGCAGATTACAACAAAAGCAACAAAAACAGTTAAAAACAATTAAAACCAGTTGTAGTTACAGTTACACAGCACAACTGCAGACCAGGTGGAAGACTGAACTAATTTGCTTCAAACGCTAGATGGAACAGGTGAGTTTTTAAGCGGGATTTAAACGATTGAATGGAATCTGACATGCGGACATCGATAGGAAGATATTCCAGAGTTTGGGTGCGGCCATTGCAAAAGCTCGGTCCCCTCTGGTCTTTCGTCGCGGCCTTTGTTGCACTAAGAGCAGTTGGTTAGAGGATCTGAGCGCTCTCTTGGGGCTATATGCGTCGAGAAGGTCTGTTAGGAAACTGGGCGCCAGGTTATTTAAATTTTTAAAAGTACACAAAAGGATTTTAAAAATGAGAGAGAGAATTGGAGGCCCATGTACAGAGAATTGCAATAGTCTAGTCTCGAAGTAATGAAGGCATGGATAAGCTTTTCAAGGTCTTTATGTGGAATATAGGGCTTTGCCTTGGAGATTTGATGTAAAAACTCATTTTCACAACTGAGGCAACTTGTTGGTCTAACTTGAGTGAGCTGTCCAGGACCACTCCAAGATTTCTAACGGTATAAGAGAGATGGCTGGCATAGGACCCCAGTGTATTAGTTAGCTGGTCCGGGGGAATGGGACTGTCAAAAACAATAATTTCTGTTTTCATTTCACTTAGAGTTAGAGAGTTTTGTAATAGCCAATCTTTTACTTCCCGCAGACAATTGAACAAAGGCACTAATGAGGACTGGACATCCTGATTCAGGGGGAGTAGATTTGGATGTCGTCAGCATAGTAGTGAAACGAGATATTATGCTTTTTGAAAATGAGTCCCAAAGGCAGCATGTATAAAGAAAATAACGTAGGATAGATGAACGGATATTATTTCCACACAGAACACAGGCTGTTTCGGTCAACAATATTTTGAAGTTATTTATGGTTTTGTACATATAAATTCTATTGTTTATAGGAATGGTGAATTTAATGTATTATAAAATTACAATTACCACATTAGGTTTGAAGCTGCTTAGCTCAGTAGGGTAATTGGGGGACTTCAAAGCAGAAGGTTGCTTTGTTTATCCATACCTACTGTAAAATTTATCTTACTAGAAATTCTAACCAGGCATCCAGGCAATGTTGAACACATTACTTGAACCAATGTCACAGTAATGCCCGAGACATCGGTTCAACTTTCATTTTAGAGCCTCGACTCGACGGCAAGAAAAAAAACAACAACTAATGGTTTTCTGGGCAGTAGAGATGTTTACACGTCCAGCAAATATGCAGCAATCTTCTTAAATATGTTTAATAATGACAAATGTGACTCAGATATTCACCCCTTACATTTGGCTGTCGAGCTGCTAAATCATTATTTGTTCTAAGCAGGTGGAGGATTTTAAAATGAACATTAAAATCACTGTACCACATGTCAGAATATTTACACTTGTCATAAATTAAAAGCGTCATTACCTGTAGCAGTCAACATATTTTTACTTTAGGTCTAACAGTTTACTTTTTCCACTAAAGAAGCATTTAGCCTTGTGAATATTTCAGACATGACTGCTGTATAATTACTGTAGCTTGACTCGCACTTCGACACACATCCGCACAGCCACGCATACACATGCACATCTACACACAAACACACACTTGTAGGCAAGGACCTGGATGTGTGTGTTCAGCTTGCTGTGGCTTACTTTGCCTACTTACGCTGGGCTGTCACAGTGCCTCATGGAGGAGGATACACCGCCCCCACAGGTCCTGCTGCACTCCCCCCAAATGGACCATGGCCCCCAGCCTCCATCCACACTCTGAGGCCAGGTACCAAACGCAACACATTCCCCCTGGTAGCACCACTGGGTGGGGAGAAGCAGAAGTATGCACAGAGTGGAAAACTTTGGTTATTACATATCTTAATAATTTCTTCAGACACACTGACCAGCTTCAAGTTAAAGAGGCCCATTCTCACTATAACATACAGCTTATTTCGTCCAATAATTAATTCTCGTGTGTCTCGTGACTCTTCTATATTTATTTAATGTTTCCATTATGGGAAGTTATTTCCAAGACAGGTGAGGCAGAGAAAGAGCTGAACTACGTTTCAGGAGTAATCATGTTAATCTGTTCAGAGTTGTGGGGGAAGAGGGGATCAGAGACTTTCCTTTGTCCCTCCAACTGTGTCAGTAGGTTAATAACCCTCTAGAGAACGGTACAGTCAAGGTGAGGGCTAGGCTGAGCTGCTGCGTTCTTTATCTCTACCTCTCATTTAATTTCTGAGATGCTGTCTAAACAAGATTAGCAGTGTGGAGAAAGAGAAACGTGGAGGACCAACTGATACGGGCACAGAACCTCAGCGTTAACTGTAAGTTTATTGGTCAATTTGAACACACAGAAGAAACGCAAAGCTCCCTTCTATTGGTTAATTCCTGGCTGTCTCCCCTCCCGCTTTCCCATCCCCCAGTCTCTACCTCTATCTCTGTCTGGTCCTGTTGGAAGGGCCTCTCTCCATTACACGCTGGGTGAGAAATGGCTGACATTCATATTCCTTTGAAGCCGTCCCCAGCAGGGGCAGACAGAGTATGCCACTGGCTCTCCTAAAGCTGCTCCAAAAGCTGTTCTAAAGCCCCCCAGGCTCTACCTGGGGCCCCCTGTGTTGTACAGGACTCTGTCCGTGGGCCCTGGTCCTCAAAGGCTCCACTGAGCTAATGGTAATTATGGGTGACAGCTCGTGACACTCTCCTATTCTTCCCTTTTACCCCTCGGACCATCCGGTGACAATGGTTGCCGTAATCCGTGTTAAAACAGTCTCCCCTAACCTGGCTGGCATCAGCACTCGGCTGATGACCTAAAGCCTGGCCTGCTTACGTCTGTGAGTTTGTGTATGTGTGTGTGGGTGTGTGGTTGCACCAAATGCATGAGTGCACACTAGTGAGGTACCACTAGCTACACAAAGAGAAGAGAATAAAAGTGCTTGTTTCACATCACAGGTCACCAGGTATTAAATATAGCTGCAGTGCTGAAAGGGCAGGTTCACCCAAATTCTAATTTAAAACATATAAACTTCTAGATGTAGCTTGGTCCATCTGGCAGCCTATTTTCACTTGGAAGAAATGTGTATTCCCTGACGGTTGCTGGCTGTCGTTGGGTGAAATCGGTCACTGCAGGCCACTGAACCAAAAACCTCCTTGTGACTGCTTTGGTCACGAGCAGATTGCCGCGGTCACCCATCGTTAACTGACTCATATACAAACAGTGCAGAGCATTAGTGAAACTTGAAAAGGTGCAATGCAAAGTGCATAAAATAAAAGTTGCGTTACCTCTGAAACCAGCACATTTCAAAAGGCACAACTGTGAAGGTAAACAGTGTCAGTTTCCAATTTGTATCACACTCCTGACATTTTCACAAACACTTAGAGGCTTAGGTGAGTGTGTGCAGACAAGTTGGCAAATTCCATGCAAACTACGGCTGACAACAGTAACCTGCTGGCGACCAAAGCAATTGCAAACAGGTTTTCAGTCAGACATCATGTACTTCATTGTGACCAATTTCACCCACCTACAGCAAACAGTTGCCACAACTCACTAAGCAGGCAAGCAACTCATAAGTATTTTAACTGTCAATCTCTGGTGACAGGCAACTTGTCTCCAAAGAATTACAGTCAAAATTGGATTTCCTACAATCACTCTCAGACATAGTGGCAAAGGTTTGCAAGTAACTGCAATCTATTTTATAAACACAGTCAATGTTGTAACCAATCTGAATCAGTCTGTGCTGATGAGCGCAATTCATCTGCGATGTGGCTCTTTCTAATAGAGTCCTTGACTTGACTGGTTACCAGCTGGTTGTATTCTGGTTATATTCCAATATAAAAAGGGACAGCTCAGATTGAGCAATATGGAGACAAAGTTGAGATCATTTGGACATGTGCAGAGGATGGATAGTGGATATACTGGACAAAAATGTGGAATATGGAGCTGCCAGGCACGAGGAAAAGAGGAAGACCTCAGAGGAGACTCATGGATGTAGTGAAGTGAAGGAGGACATGCAGAAGTTTAGTATGCTAGAGGAGGATTCCAGAGATAGAAGCAGATTGTCCACTGTGGTGATCCCAAAAAAGGAGTATGTGAAAACCAAAAGAAGATAAGAGTCAAGTTGCCTAGTGCAGGCCATTTGTATTTAAATAACTATCCCACAGTAACTATCACTATTTCAGGAGGGATTTCTGAATTTCTGAACTTTCATATCGATGAGCTTCTGGCTATACTGAAAATGCAAGTAGTTAATGTGAATTTCTCTTTAGTTTCAAATTTCTGTGCATGTAGATGGCAAAAGATTTGCAAGAGACCGTAACACATTTATGGCTTCCTTCACTCTTTCTGAAATGGAGGAATTTTAGACCACTCTTCTTTGCAGAATTGTTTTAATTCGGCTACACTGAAGGGTTTTCAAGCATAAATGACCTGCTAAAGGTTAAACCAAAGCATCTCAATTTAATTTGAGACCAGACTTTGGTTAGGCCATTGTAAAACCTGTAGTTCTCTTGTTCTGGATTCATCTTTGACCTACTAGATGAGGATTTTTGGAGTATTATGCTTTGTCCATTTGTGGATAATGCTTCTCATCATGGTTCACTGGACTCCCAAAGCCTTAGAAATGGCTTTGCAATCTATCCCAGAGTGATAGATGTTAATGATTTTCTCTCTTTATTCAGACAGGTTCAATTTAGGTGATTTCTTGATTCATTGGGTCTGGCAGTAATCACAACTAGGTGTGTCTAGTGAAACTGAGCTCAGATTTCCACAAAATGTGGTGAATCGCAGTTAATTAATGATTGAACAAGTTTGGGCAATTACTTTTTCACACAGGGTTGGAGGGTTTTTTTTTTATCTCTTTTTCTTTCCTGTTAATAAATGAGATCATTTAAAAATAGCATTTTTGTATTTATTTGAGTCATCATCTTCTAATATTAAAAATTGTGTATCTGGAAAAAAACTTTAACCTTTAAATGTCTGAGAAACACTAGATGACTTACCCCTTTTTCAATGTTGCCTGTCTGGCACAGGGTCCCCTCTGCAGCAGGAATACTGTTAGTTACACAACGGTTGCTTTTGCTAAGGCACCAGAGCTCTCTACACACTTCCTAGGAAAGAAGGCAAAAGCAAGTTGGTCAGAATAAATCAATTCAGCAAGCTGGGGGTGGATTTGTTAAATAAGGCTAAAAATGATTTATCAGTGGCCTTTTACTGGTTTTCCCTTTTAGTATTTTTTTGTGCAGTCTGACAGCTGTGAGAACAACAACAAAGAATGGCATGGAAATGTGTCTATAAATCCATACAATTCCAGATCAAATCAGAGGATCAGAGATGATGAGACCACATCAAGACTGCTATCTTCAAGATCCCATATGCTTTGGATCATAGTGTATTTTGAGCAACATGCTAAGGGTCACTGCGTGTTTTTAATGCTCTCTTATGAGAAATGAAGAGTCAGCTAGATCAACACCATGACTAACGTTTGCTCATGTTCATCTCAGGACCACATGGGACCGTGACATCAGTTCAAGAAATCCAACTTTGGCTTCTTAGGGGAAATAAAGAGTGAGCAATAGGCCTCCCAAGTCTTAGATAAAGATGGCTTGTAGCCTAACAAATATCCTTAGTATTACTGATTTGTCTGCGTAAACATCATCACTCTTCAGTACAGAGCGGAGAAACCATTTAGATTATTGAAAGAGAAGAAATACACTGTTAAGTTGCCCCCAAATAAATAACTGGATAAAGTGAGCACATGATGTGCTGCACAACCAAGACTGGATTTCCTGTTTAAGTAAACTGGGTTAACTTCAAAGGTTTTTATAACACAACTGAGTAGAGCAGAAGAGCAAGCTCATGAAAAAGAATAACGAGCCAACACGTAGATTCTGAGCCCAAAGGTCAGTAAATATCCCACAGCTCTTCAGCTCCTTGAGCCTATCCAGATTCAATAATGCAGCTAACTGCCAGTCTCTGGTTGCACCGACTCCCCTATGCCAGCTGGTTTTAATATGCCACCCCTACTGCTCCAGTCACTATCTCAGCCATGGTAAAAGGTCACTGACCGGGCCTCAACAAACATGGATGCGGGGCTGATAGATTTATGTCAAACGAGAACAAGCGGTCAGAGACACTCAGTAAGAGCCCCACTAATATCAAAAGATTGTTTGTTTTTCATATGTTTCATAAATTTTATGACAACCCTTGGTTCAAGGATTTTTATAATCTATAAATTAAGCCTAACCCCCTGAAGGCATTGTGGTCCTTAACCCTGGGAGGCATATAGACATATATATATATATTGTGAACTGTTGAAGTACAGTGATTTTGTATATACAACTCCCTTCTTAGATTGTCTGAAGTGACTTCATCTTGTCCATGTTTCCAGATTTGTAAATAGGATAGAATTAAAGTGGTTGTATACAGTAATATAATGATATACCATTCAAACAATTCAAAACAAACATCAACCTCCAAAATAATCACAAGTTTTAATCTTGCCTCTCCAAAACTGTGTGAGAAAAACCAGACAAGTTTAAGTATCATAAAGAATTTTTTTAAAATTAGGAATACCTAATAAGCTGTTTGTTCATATATACTGTATACATGATCCGCATGCAGTGTATGGAAGCAGTGCATTTTTCTGGCTGCTTCTTACTAAGTCAGTGTCACAACTTTTGTCAGTGATAGCTGCCCTGTGCTGTTCTTGTGTTTTGCTGCCGCTCTTCCCAGCTCTGACTCATATATGCACATGCAAAGAAAGATCCCAAAACTGAGGCAATTCCTGAAAATGGAAATATCAGTTTCTTTTGATATTGTTGAGCCTCTGTGAATCATGACACAAGAATTGCCTGAGGACAGATACGGAGTAATAGCATCTTCAAAGCTTTTTCCAAACATGGGATGAAAAAAGCAAACCAAAAACTTGAGGAAAATAGTAAAAGCTAGCATTTTACAGGCATGCTAGACTACCTGGAGACAGCAACATTTTGAGCATGGTCACATGCTAACAACAACAATGTACATACAATAGCTTAGCTTTGCGTAGCAAAAAAATCTTGAGATAACAAAAGACCTTGAAATTTGTCTCTTGGTACAAATATCAATGAATATCTGAGGTTTTTTTAAGATATTTCAAACTGGACCATGGTGGTTTCCCCAGACAACTATCAGTGCCATCCTTACAGCCGTGTAGCTAAAATGATTTAAAATAGTTTGGGACTGTTGGTTTTTGATATTGCTGGTCATAGAAAATGTTATGCCTTTTAAACCTAAGCAAGTTTGTTGAAGCAGGCGCCAGGTCACAGGAAGGAAGCCAAACATATCGCTTGGGTAAAATCCCAAATAGTATGTCGTGGAAACGTTTGGTACATTCTGGGTAAGAATTGGCTTAAGAAACCAGATTCTTCCATTTATTAAAGCTTTGATCTTTTTCTGTGGTTACATCCATCCTCTCACTGAGGGCATCGATTTCAAAGTATGAAATAAATCTGATCGTCAGACGAAAAACTCCAATCGAGCTCTGATAAATCAGCGCCGGAATTCCACCCTTTCATAAATGGGTGTCTTTCTTGGCAATCTAAAACCACAATTATGAGCTTAGGAGCCAAAATAACTGAGCGTTGATTTGGGCCTTGTTGTAATCTTCTGTCAGATATTTCTTTCAATGAAAAGAAATAACTCTGTGATCTCAACTAATCTGTCCTCTCTTCCATCATGTGCCCAATTTTCTATGTGATGCAGAGCAATATTACATTACTGTCCATTAGATATCAGAGGAATCTTTCAGCTGCTCATTTAAATGTGTGGTTGGTTCTTGTCTTTCACTGCCTGTGTCGCCTTGATATTAATAAAAGTATTGTCTTCCTCTTCACCCCCATCCATCCATCTTCATCCGCTTTATCCGAGGCCGGGTCGCGGGGGCAGCAGCCTAACCAAAGAGGCCCAGACCTCC